GGGCTTGAACCCCTCCTTATAAAAAAAAAAAAAAAAAAAAAAAAGCTGATGGAGAGCTCAACAAGCCGGGTGTGGAGTTGCTCGAGGTGTAATGAGATCAGCTGGGGATGTGGACGCCAGCTCTAAAAGCTGGACTACCACCCGACCACTCAGCAGCACGCTAGCGCCAGCAAATTCCAAGCCCCGCCCCCAGCCAGCACAGCCCCACCCACTTGTCTTCTGATCCAGTGCTGGCCACGGGCCTCTCAGGCGTGCACTTGGCTCATCATGCCTTGTGACATTGTCCTGACTGTTACCCAACAATCCCATTTTACCTTGAGCAAGGGTGACACACACATACACTGTGACTCATCTATTGTTCTGCCTTCTCGCAGCTCTGGCCTCCATGGCACTGACTGTCCCTAGGCTGGCATGTGCTAGAGCCTTGTTCTACAGCTATTTCTCAAAGGGCAGGTTTGTCATCTGTTGCCCAGCAGAGTCGAGTGTCACAGTTCATATAACCTTTGCAAACCGGATTTCTTATAAGAAATCCAGGGAAGCAGGGTTTGTCTGGTGGCCACATGTACAAGAAGAGTGCTTGATTGGGGCAGCAAAATATGTTTTAAAGAAAAAGCCCACTTATTGATTTATTTTGAGGCAGGGTTTCATGGACCCCAAGTTGACTTCCAAATCCCTGTCTACTTCAGGGTTGCCCTGAACTTTTGATCCTCCTGTCTCCATTTTCACCCTCTTGCAGGGTCTTTTTGTTGTTCTATTTTGTTGAGAGACAGAGTTTTTAACTGTTACCCTAGGCTAACTTGAGATATCCCAAGGCTAGCTTCAAACTCACGGGAGACTGCCTGCTTCAGTTTTCCAAGTGCTGGGATTGCAGGTATGAACCATCCTATCTGGTTTAAAAATATTTAAAAGAACCAGTGAGAACTCACTTGCCCTGCTATGGATGTCTCTGTTCTATGGTGGGTAATCCTAACATTGAAATGCAGTCGACCAAACCAAGTAGATGGAATGGACTTCTCCCTAGGTGGAGAAGAACCTAGTGGAGCATGTCTGTGAAAACAGCAACAGGGAGATAGAAGCAGAAGTCTCCTGAGTTCATGGTCACCTTTTGCTACATAGGGATCACCCTGGGCCACTCAGGGCCTTGTCTCAGCCCAAATGACCAAAATAATAACAACAATAACAACAACAATAATAATTACACAGACTGGATCTGTTAGGGATCCTGCCTCTGCTCAACTGAGTGACTCGGGACAGGTCACTCAGTGTCTCTGAGTCCTGGTTTCTCTGGTAACTGAGGTGATCAGCTTGGGAAGAAGCCCTCACAGAAGGGCGGAGCAGTAAGTCTGCCAGTGTTGGCATCTATTTAGGTCTACAACTCCTTATCTATGACTCCAAATGCCTAGAAGGACTGAAGACAAAATATATTTAGCACTGAGACCTGAACTGAACTGCCTGCCGCCAGCTGCCTTTATTCCCTCTCCTGATTGTCCAAAGACTTCTCTGCAGGGTTTGACTATAGTGCACCATACCATGCCCTGTGGGGCTGGAACGAAATACTGTATGGTCTGGCACTGTGCTGCTTTCTCTGAAGTTCAATAGCAAGCCAGCCATGGCGGCATTGGCCTGTAATCCCACTTCTTGGGAGGTGGAGGCAGGAGAATGAGGAGTTCAGGTATAGCCTTGAACACATAGCAAGTTGGAGGAGGCCAGCCTAAGCTACGTGATACCTGTTTTTAAAAATAAAAACAGGGTTGGAGATGGTTCTGTGGTTAAGAGCACATCCTGCTATTACAGAGGACCTGAGTTCAATTCCCCGTACACCCATTGGCTGGCTCACAAAATCTATAACTCCATCTCCTGAGGATCTGGTGTGTTCTATTCTGACTTTGTAGGCATGAGGCACACACTTGGTGTACTCCGAATTATGGAACACAATCTCTTCCCCATAATCTCTCCCCAAAACTGTGAGTGAGCATACTCACAGTTGCTGACAGAAGCTCATACTCTGTAGCCCTCACTGGCCTGGAACTCATCATGTAGCCCAGGCTGACCTAAAAAATCTCAGTGAACTTCCTGCTTTAGTCTGTTTAGGATTAGGATTACAGACATGAGGCATGGCTTCCAGCCGCTGGTCCCCAGCCTAACTGTTCAAATGGCCCCTAAGGACTTAGAGCCCGTCTTTCATCTCCTGCCAGTAAAAGTATCTACCTACTTTCCAGCTGGGCCTCCCCAAGGCCTGTCCCCTGTCCTTGCCACTCTGTGCCTCTCCATTCTTCATCCTGTTGAACTACCCATGCCATGGTCACCCATGTGGATATTTGGTGATGTCTCCTCTCCTGAATGGCCCTAGCAGTCTGGACCCAGCCAGCAGTTACCTGCCTGTGGGGATGAGTTAATGAGAGAAGTGGCTGAACTTCTTTGTGCTCCAAATACTGTCTGCGGACAGTCTGAGCAAACACCTGGCTCACTGCTTCCACCGTGCTGAAGCCCTGGGTTTTTCTCCCTAGAATTTTCCCAGCAGACCAAATCCTAAAATAAATGCTCTTATTTGCAAGACAGCAGCAATCTCCAGGGAAAAGACCAAGGAGTCCTCAGAGCAAGTTGGAAGCCACTGTCAGGGGCTGTCAAGACTGTGTGTCATTTCCCTTTGGCCCAGGGCTGTCATAGGACTTGGGGTCAAGTTACAGCTCTTCCCCGGCAGCGAGATGATCTTGGGGGCAGCCCCTTGTGACTTGCAGCCTCCCGTTTCCTCATCCCAGAGCAGAGATCATGAATGCTGTTTGGCAGGGTTGTGGAGAAGATTTGGTGAGATAATGGGAGGAGTTTGAACACTGGCAAGTGTTATACACATGTCAGTCTGTTGTCATCTGCACGCAGCAATGCTTGTCAACTTCCTAAGAGCTAGGTGTGGCATCTTCTATTTTCTTTCATTTCCCCTAAGCCTGCCCTTCCCTCCCTGTTTCCCGAAGTCAGGGAGTAAAGTCTAAAACATTGCTAAGCAGCCTGCATGAGGATCTGGGAGATAGAAGTTGCATAGCAATGACAGCTAACATGCCAGCATATGCCAACTGCCCTGACCAGGACTCAAAGCCTGGGCCTTGATACCAACCCTGTACCTGCCATTTGCCAGGTTAACAGTGTGATGTTTTTCTTTCTTTCTTTTTTTTTTTTTTTTTTTTGGTTTTTTGAGACAGGGTTTCTCTGTGGCTTTGGAGGCTGTCCTAGAACTAGCTCTTGTAGACCAGGCTGGTCTTGAACTCACAGAGATCTGCCTGCCTATGCCTCCCGAGTGCTGGGATTAAAGGCATGCGCCACCACCGCCCAGCAACAGTGTGACCTTAGATTAGGTTAGTGCTAATGGACTCATGTCCTCATCTGTCACACACTGTGGTGGTCATCAGATCTATTTTCCAGGAGGTCATTGTGCAGGTAAAGGGGTTGGGGTGGTGTAGGTAACTGACCAGGCAGGCATGAATCAAGCCTGCTGACAGCATGGGTGGTTATTATTTTACTGTTATGATCTGAGCTTCTTCAAGAAGGATCATGAGGAAATCAGCAGGCCTGGAGTGAGAGGCAGGATGTCTGGTCCTTGTGAAAACTGGACAAGTCTTCAAAGATGCTCAGACCAGCCCCAGGGCCAGCAGAAGTAAGACAGCAGTCTGTCTGGTCATCATTTGCTCTGGGTGTTGGTTAGATTTTCAGACTAGACACTGTTGGGTAAGAGGTGTGTGGCCTTCACATTTGGATATCCTGCTGACATCTCAGGTGGAGGATGCCCCAGGCCCCAGACACAGACAGCTCACACTTTTTTTCCTCCTCTGCTCTGGGGATTAAAGCTGGGGTCATATACTTTCTAAGCAAGCCTTCCATCACTGAGCTGTATTTGTACCTCTCTACTTCTCACTGTTTCCAGACAGGCTTTGAGCTTTCTTATCCTCCTGCCTCAGCCTCCCAAGTGGGTGTGTTTATAGGCCTCAGCCACCAGGTCCCACATTTGTTTTTTTACAAATTTAATCTTATTTATTTATTTGGCTATAGGGTCCGAGGTATGAGAAGCTGACCAGAAGCTGGGAGGGGTAGCCCCTTCTCATCCGTTGCTGGGTCACCAGCCCACCTGAGGCTAGAACGGCCCTTCCCATCTCTGCATTGAGGTAGCTCCAGCTTAACCCTCCACAAGTACAATACTGAGGGTGCCCATCTTCCAGGCAGACCCCAGCCCAGACAGGAGGGTGGCAGGAGAGGCAAGGAGAAGCCCCAGCTTCAGGAAGGGTACATCCTGCACCCCAACAAATTAATCTTACTTATATTCTTAATTTTTATTATTTTGTGTGCATAGGTGTTTTTCCTGCATGAGTGTATGTGCACGGCATGTATGCAGTGCCCTCCAAGGCCAGAAGAGGGTGACAGATCCCCTGGAACTGTTAGCAATATCATATGAGTCTTTTTCTTTTTTCTTTTGTTTTTCAAGACTTTTATGCAAAATTTCTTAAAAGATTCATTCATTTATTATAAATAAAACATTCTGCCTCCATGTATGTCTGCATGCCAGAAGAGGGCACCAGATATCATTATAGATGCTTGTGAGCCACTGTGTGGTTGCTGGGAATTGAACCCAGGACCTTTGGAAGAGCAGTTAGTGCTCTTAACCTCTGAACCATCTCTCGAACCCTTACCCAAAATTTTTAATCCCTTCATCCAGTAAAGTCCTTGTTTACACAGACCTCTAGCTCTATCCCAAGGATTTGATGTCATTGAGCTGTGACCCCCACCCCTTCCTCCCTTGTTTCCTGTGTCTTTTTTCCAATCAATCAGATCAGACTGCGAGGTCAGTCCCCAGCCAAGAGTAAAACACAAGCATGATGGCTGTGCTTTTATCCCAGCACTCGGGAGACAGAGGAGGCAGATCTCTTGAGTTCAAGGCCAGCCTGGTCTACAGAGTGAGTTCAACCACAGCCAGGACTACACAGAGAAACAGTGTCAGAAAAAATAAACAGCAAACAAATAAAAATTATGTTCCTGGTAAAGCCTTTGTTTACACAAAGGCCTCTTGCTTTAAGGATTTGATAACTTGGAGTAGCGGCCCTTTTTCCTGCTCCTCCATTAGTATGCCAGTTCTTTTCCGACTAGCCAATAGGATAAGAGTGTGATAAATGACTGAAGCCAATGGGGAAAAAACACAGGCACCACTAATATATGAAAGAGCAGCCAGGCGGAGAGGTGGTGGTGTGAAACTTTAAACCCAGCACTCAGGAGGCAGAGGCAGAGGCAGGAGGATTTCTGCGAGTTCGAGGCCAACCTGGTCTACAGAGTTCCAGGACAGCCAGGGCTGTTACACAGAGAAACAAAACAAAAGCAAATAAACAAAAAAGAAAGAGCAGCCACTGATTTTAATCGACGATCCATCACTCCAGTTCATTTTCTGTCTGTCTGTCTGTCTGTCTGTCTGTCTGTCTGTCTGTGTCAGGGAGCAGGTGGGGAAATCAGAGGACAACCTGCTAAATTCAGTTCTTCTCTCCATCATGAGTCTTCTGAGAATCAAAACCATATCTCACTCAGGCTTGTCAGCAAGGGCTTCAACCCTCAGAGACATCCTTTTGGCTTCAGTACCCCCTCCCTATCCCTTTTTAAAAGACAGGGTCTTTCTACGTAGCTTGCATTCACCTGGAACTAGTTATGTGGACCAGGTTGGCCTTGAACTCAGAGATCCAATTGCCTCTGCCTCCCTTGTGCTGGAATTAAAGATGTGTACCATCTTTTTTTTTTTTTTCCTTTTTTTCCCCTAATAGCTACAATATGATACAGTACGCAACAGCTCACTTGAAAGTGCTAGAATCAGAGGGTAAAGAACGCCATAAGCCATCCCACTTACATTTCCTACTATACAATGCCTTTTTGGCGCTTGATAAATCAAGCATTCATGTAGCAATACATTCAATAGAAACACCTCATACTTTGGGTTTAAGATCCTTGTCCCTCCAGTTCCGATGTCGTGACATCTGACTCTTCATCATTGTAAATATTTTCAGCCATCTGCCATATCTGCATGATGTTATCTTCAGACACTGAGCAAATGACCCAAGGCTCATTGGGGTTCCAACTGAAGTCTGAGATCTTGGCAGTGTGTCCTCCATGAATAAACAGGAGTTCTGGAGGCCCATCTTCTGCATCTTCTGCTGACTGTTCTTCTCCAATTTTACTTAAATCCCACACATTCAGGCGGCGATCAGTACCACTTGAAGCCAGAATAGTTTCATTATGTGGAGACCAGTGAACCTGGAAAATTTCATCCTTATGCGATTCAAAAGTATGGAGTTTTAGTTTTAGATTGCGCAGATCCCATAAAGCAACAGTCTTATCTGCAGAGCCAGTTGCTAGAATGAACTCGCTGTAGGGATTGAATGAGAGGCAGTTGACCTCAGCAGTGTGTGCATCCACCAAATGACTTGGCTTAGAAGTGGTATTGGATCTGGTGTCCCATATCATAAGTTTCTGATCATCAGCAACAGATCCAAACAAGGACTCATGCAGCAGATGCCAGGCCACATCCTCTACAACAGCTGAGTGGCCAGTAAAGATTGCTTTAGCATCCACAATTTTGCCTTCCTTTGGTCCTGCATTTATATCCCACAGGCAGACAGTATGGTCATCAGATGCACTCAGGAGATGTCCACTCAAATTAGAATTCCAGGAAAGACCATAGCCTTCCTTTTGGTGACCTCTCAATCTAAGATCAGGATTACATTCTCCACTTGGATCTGGTTTAGCAGGGTGTTTTGTATAGTCAAAAACCAAAACATCAGAAGATGGTGTTTTTGTGGCAATGATGTGAGGATTCTGTGGCATATAACGAGCACGGTTTACTTCTCCTTCATGATTAATTTTAATTTCACATTCAATTTTTCCTGTTACGGAACCAAAGCCACCAAATTCTCCCTTGTCACTGTCACAATGGGAAGCATCAAACTGTGCATCATCATTGGGAATATGAACTCGAGCAACCACCAGATGATTCTGCTCGTCAGATGTATGAGTGCCCAGCACTAGCCAATGAAGGGCATAATCCTTTCCTTCTGGTTTAGTCACTTCAGGAAGCCACTGAACGGTAAGACTGGGCCACTGAAGAGCATGGGTCATAACCAGGTCATACAGAAACGGTGTATTCTTCTTCCAGATTTTATATTCTTCGTTGATGACACGCTCCTCGATGTGTACCATCTTACTCTGTCCTGTATTTTAAAATTTAACCATAATTTTTGTTTGTTTGTTTGTTTTTTGAGACAGGGTTTCTGTGTTTTGCTCTGGAGCCTGTCCTGGAACTTGCTCTGTAGACCAGGCTGCCCTCTAACTCAAAGAGCCCCTCCCCCAAATTCTGGGATTAAAGGTGCAGACACCTTTGGAAAGGGAACCACACTAAATTGATCTCACTGTTATTTTGATGGTGTACAAACAAACCGGCTGCTTGATGGTAGAGTGTTGCATTTGAATGAACTTCAAGATAAAAACAGGAGACTTCAAAGACATTTTATGCTCTGGGGTGGGGTCGGGTGTGGTTGCTGCTGGGTCGGCTTTGTGCCTGCTCTGGGGGAAAACATGTGAGAGTTCTGAGTGACAAAGTGACACGCGCCACCCTCTTCACTATTTTCCTCTTCCCTGTCAGCTGTTGACAATAGTAATAGTAGCTCTTCCTGCCGTTGAGTGAGTAGCTCTACCTGTCTGTCTGACCTTGAGTCCATCATTTATCTCCCACGTTTGGTTTCTTCAAAAAAAGGTGTGTGTGTGGGGTGGGGATGGGGGACTGGAGAGATCGCTCAGCAATTAAGAGCACTGGCTGCTCTTCCAGAGGACCCGGGCTCAACAATGCTCAACTCCCAGCACCCATGAGGAGACTCACAACTGTCTTTGACTCAGTCTAGGGGATCTCTCTCTCTCTCTCTCTCTCTCTCTCTCTCTCTCTCTGTCTCTCTCTCTCTCCTCTCTCTCTCTCTCACACACACACAAATGAATACAAGCAAAACATGAATGCACGCGTAAGAAGTAGTGGGCTGGACTAGGGCGATTTCCTGGTGTACTGATCAAGCTAATTCATGTTAAAGTGTAGATGACTGATAGCAGCTTAATGTATTGCCCTCCTGTGGGTGGGGGAGCTTTTAAAGAGTTGGAGTTTCTCATGGGGAAAGAATGCACATTTGTGCTTGTAGTTTCTAGGTTGGTCACCTGCTGAGTGGGGAGCTGTGTGTTGGGGGCTGGTCACTGTGACCCTAGGCCAGCTGTGACCAGGGTTATTGTGCCCTGGAAGGATAAAGCTGCTCGTTTTCCTCTCTAGCTCACACCACCTTCATTTTTTTCTGGGCAGAGGCCAAGATCAGGGATTTTCTGAAATGGAAAGTGTCTCTCCAGGAAAAGCCACGTGTGTGGCCTTGTCCCCCGAGGCAAGGGGTGTGGTGGGGGATGTTCAGAGTTCATCTACTTGACTTCCAGGTTCTCAGATCAGGTCCCACCTGGGCGAGGCACCTGGGCTGCAGGCCATCAGCTGTCTGCCAAGGCAGGGGGTCCAGACATACCTATACCAAGGAGAGCTGAGCGCTTTCCCATAGTTGGAGAGGCTGCTCCAAGCATGTCTGCTTTAAGGTGCAGCTTCATTTCCAGGGAGGTCTGAGACAGGGTGGCCCAGAGCCACTGCTGGGCATACCAACAGGAGAGGCATGCTGGGTTGAGAAGCGTGGGCTGGCTCCTCCAGTTCCATGAAAACATGGCTTCCCAGCTTGGTTCCAGCCAGCACCCTGGCCTCTGGGTCTCGGTCTGTCATCAGAGTCTGCCTTCAGTGACTGTCAGGGAGGCAGCCATAGCTAGTGGTCCAGACCCTGTCTGCTGGGCTCTGAGTCCACCAAGGGTGGGGTGAGTCTTGCTTTGTGGTCTCTTCACATCCAGCCAGGATAGTTTCTCCAGATCTGCTGCTGATAATGCCTGAACCTCACCTTGAGTACCAGGAGTGTCACTCAGAGCCCAGGCTGCTATCTGCCCGGAAGATCAGAGTGTGTGAGAAACCCTCGGAAGACCTCTGAGGGAAAGATCCATTCATTTAGGGTGTGTGTGTGTGTGTGTGTGTGTGTGTGTGTGTGTGGCTTTGAACTCAGAGATGTAGCTGTATCTGCCTCCTGAGTGTAGTGATTAAGATCCTGTACCATCCCCACACTGGAACACTGGACCAGTCTTTTTTTTTTTTTTTTTTTGGTTTTTCGAGACAGGGTTTCTCTGTGTAGCTTTGGAGGCTGTCCTGGCACTCGCTCTGGAGATCAGGCTGGCCTCGAACTCACAGAGATCCGCCTGCCTCTGCCTCCAGAGTGCTGTGATTAAAGGCGTGTTCCACCAACGCCCATCGTGATTTTTTACCGTGAGTGTAAAAGGTTGAGACACTCAGCGGCAGAGAGCTCAGGCTGGGTTGACTCTGAGAGGGGAGAGTGGGAGAGCAGGCTCAGCCAGTCAGGAGCTGCTGGGGGCAGCTGCTGGGCGTGGCTGCAGAGCCCCGGGTCCAGGTTGAGAAACTGGGGTTTCAGAGCCTCATTGAGTCACTAGTTAATAAGAACAGCATCCTGGGCTGGGGTCACACAGTTAGCCTATTAAATCCATGTGCCTGGGGCTTGTCCTCAGAGAGAGGGGACAGGTGACACAGCTTACCATTGGGTATTTCTAGGCAAGAAAGGTAGGAGGTGCCTAGCATGTGGGAAGTCCTGATTGTCACCCCAGAACACAAACAATGAAGGGTGATGGCACAAACCTGCCATCCCAGCACTATGGAGGTAGAGGCAGGAGGACAAGGACTTCAAGGTCACTCTCTCCACATAGCAAGAAAAGAAAGATGAGAAAGACCCTTTCTGTATTCCTGGGATGCTGGCATTTCTGGGCCTCATGATGTCCTTACCCACTGGGTCCCCTAATTGTCCTGCCCCTGGATTTCAGATGTAAATTGGTTATTGTAATGTAGTGTATAGTAAGTTGTGTAATGTGGATAAAAGAAAAACCCAAAGTTCAAAGCTAAATACTTATTGATATTATTTTCTTTTAATTGTTTTGTTTTGTTTTTCAAGACAGGGTTTCTCTGTAGGTTTAGAGACTGTCCTGGAACTCTCTTTGATGACCAGGCTGGCCTCAAACTCACAGAGATCCACCTGCCTCTGCCTCCCGAGTGCTGGGATTAAAGGCGTGTGCCACCACTGCCCAGCTTGTTGATATTTTTTATTTATTTATGGCTTTTTTTCCTATAGAAGGGAAGGATGGCAAATGTCCAGTTAGGATGTGTTGCAGGTGAGTGGAAGCAGGCAAACCTAGAGGGGTTAGGTTTCTTTTTCTTTTCTCTTTCTTTTCCTTCCTTCCTTCCTTCCTTCCTTCCTTCCTTCCTTTTTGACAGGGTCTCACTAAGTAGATCTTGTGGGCCTGGAACTCTTAGGAATCCTCCTGCATCTACCTTCCACGTGCTGGGATTACCTGTTAAATTTATCTAAATAAGAAGGCATGGGGACAGGTGAGATGGCTTCCTGAGTAAAATTACCTGCTGCCAAACCTGACACCCTGAATCCCAGGAGCCCACACAGTAGCAGGAGAGAACTGATTTGTGTAAGTCATCTCCTGACCTCCACACACCCACTGTGGCAGGCATGACCACTCATGCATACACACAATAAATAAATAAATAAATAAATAAATAAATAAAGTGTAAAAAAAAATGAGGTCTGGTGTGTTCGCTCAAGCCTTTAGTTCCAGCAGAATAAATGAGCCAAGCATGGGGCTGCATACCTGAAATTCTGAAATTCCAGCACTTGGGAGGCTGAGGCAAGAGGATTGAAGACTCAAGGCTAGCCTGGGGTATAGTCAGAACTCACTGGATGTATGTATTTGTTTTTTAAGTATTTATTTTTATTTTGTATATGTGGATACACAGCTTTTTCTGCACAATGTGCTTACAGAAGCTGCAGTTACAGACAGTTGTAAGTTACCTGATGTGGGTGCTGGGAATTGATCCCAGGTCTCTTAATGGCTCAGCTGTTTCACCAGCCCCCAGAAATCACAAACAACAACAAAAAACAAAAACAAAAACCCCTACCAAAATAAGGAAGAAGTAAGAAGAACAAGGCCCCAGGAATTAGGTCAAGGTCTGGGTCTGAGGTGTGGGTATGTGTGAGGTTGAGGTATATGGACTTGGGGCTTGGAATGAGGGTACAAGGGTGTGGGTCTGGGGAGTTTTAGTGTGGGGTGTGGGTTAGAAGTATATAGTTTTAGGGGATGGGAGCATGAATTTGTATGTTGAGGAGTTGGAGCAGGACTACCATTGCTGAGGTCTAGTGCTTGGACAGGGATATGACCTGCACCAAGTACTCGTGGCCTGGTCCTCCTGAGCTTCCTCAGTGTGTTCTAGAAAAGACCCATAATGCAACTTTCCAACAGTGCTGGTTTCTGAACTTCTCTTGAATGCTAGGGTGGGCCTCCAGGTGACTCCATACACTAGAGGTCCTGTTTGCAAGAGTGACAATTGTTACAACGCCTGACATATCTATATCTATATCTATATCTATCTATCTATCTATCTATCTATCTATCTATCTATAGATAGCTATATCAAAAAAAATTAGCCAGGAGTGAAGGCTTTAGTCCTGGCACTCAGGAGGCAGAGGCAGGAAGATTTCTGTGAGTTCAAAGCCAGCCTGGTCTACACAGTGGCTGGGTCAGAGGAGGATGGAGATTAGAGAAAGTGGGAACAACGGAGGAAGTAAGAGAAAAGATGAATTTGCATAATGATGAATTTACATAAAAATGAAACCCACTACATTATAATCTTACTGAAGAAAATTAACAAAAATTTAAAAAGTATACCACCCAGGGCCAGCAAAATGGTTCAGTGAGTAAAGGTTCTGACATCCTGCATTCAGTTCCCGGGACAAACAAGGTGAGAGAGAACTGACCCCCACAGCTTGTCCTCTGACCCCCAGGTGCTCACTACGGTGGGCACACACACACACACACACACACACACACACACACCACACACACGATTCCCAAACTACAAAGATGGAGGTTGGAGAACCTGGAGTCCAAAGCCAGCCTCAGCTGCATTGAGAGTAGGAAGCAAGCCTGTGCTACATGATATCCTGTCTCAATAATCCCCTTCCCAATTAAAAATTAAATAAATGAACATTGTTTTAAAACTA